CCCCAGCCTCTCCAGCTTGTGACATGCCCGGCTCATCCCGTGCTGCTCTTCCCAGGCTGCCGCGACATCGTGCTGTTTGCCCACAGCCTTTGCTTCCTCGGAGGTCTTTCCTCTCTTGTTGCTCTGTCTGTCTGTCCAGCATCATGTCTCCTCTGTCTGAACCGTCCCTCTTTGCTGGCAGGACATCGAACGTGACCCAGAGTGCTTTGTCCTTGGACTTCAGCTTGTTCAGGATCCTTGGCCTTCGCTGGTGTGATGTGAGCGGAATGAGGAGCGCGTTTCACAGCAGCGTTAATGGTCGCACCTGGTTTGTGGCCATGATGCACGTCCCGGGGGGACAACCAGTAATGCTGCCGGATTCTTTGTTAACCAGGACAGCATCTCTCCACACGCACACCAGAAGGCACCACAGAGACAAGCGTGCTGCTCCCGAGCAGTTCTGCCTCCGACAGCATCCCTGCCCTCCCCGTGTTCCACTTGGGTCACCGATGCGAGAGTCGGGGATGGAGAGAGCAGCGTTTGGACTGCCGGGGACAGGTGAAGACTAAAGAGCTCCCTCGCGCAGCTTGCCCTCCTTTGGAGAAATGTCAAGTATTTTTTCACAAGAGATGACTGTATTTCCTATAGAGACAGATTGAGAGAGTTGGGATTGTTCAGCCTGGAGAAGAGAAGGCTCCAGGGAGACCTTCCAGCAGCCTTCCGGTACCTAAAGGGCCTACAAGAAAGCTGGAGAGGGACTTTTGACAAGAGTGTGTAGTGACAGGACACAGGGCAATGGCTTTAAACTGAAAGAGGGCAGATTTCGATTAGATCTAAGGAAGAAATTCTTCCCTCTGAGGGTGGTGAGGCACTGGAACAGGTTGCCCAGAGAAGTTGTGGCTGCCCTATCCTTGGAAGTGTTCAAGGCCAGGTTGAATGAGGCTTTGAGCAACCTGGAGTAGTGGAAGGTGTCCCTGCCCATGGCAGAGGGTTGGAACTGGATGATCTTTGAGGTCCCTTCCAACCCAAACCATTTCGTTGTTCTCTATTTCATCTGCCTAAAGAGAGCAGCGCTGAAAGGCCTTACAGCTCCCTTTACCTCTCTGGTTTAATTGCTTTAATTTGCCCCTGTCTCCATCCCGGCAGCAGTGAGCAGGTGCCTCAGTGGGACCTGTTGTCACTCCTGACAGCCATTTCCATGTGAAATTCCTAGAGGGAGGCAGGGGAGATGTCCCTCCAGCCCCGGGAGCTGGAGAGCAGACGGGCACTGCCTGCAAAATAAAACTCAGCCCCTCGTCCTGCGGCCCCGGGGCTCCGGTTCCTGGGCTGAGCAATGGGCACGGAGCGGGT